TCTCAGAGGAAGGAATAGTGCCCCAAGGGCCAGATAAAGGGTAGCAAAGGGCCATATCCGGCCCTCAGGCCACAGTTTGGAGACCCCTGTGATAGACAACACAAAATGTTCATGTGTTAGAATGGCCCAGTCAAAGTCCAGACCTAAGGCTCCATGCACACTGGATGTTTTAAAAATGCTGGTAATGTTAGCTGTGTAAAGTCACATTACAAATGTGAGTTTTTCAGCGTTTTTTGTATTAGCGTTTAGCTGCATATTTTTCACGGTTTTTCGCGTTTGCGTTTTTTTTTTTGCCAAAAAAAATGTTTTTTTAGGTCAAAAAAGTCCAAAACACTGGTTTGCTGCGATTTACCGCGTTTTGCAGCGTTAGAGCATTTTTACAGCTAAAAAACTCCTCTAGGAACCCACTAGTCCTGGGGTTTTTTTCCCAGCCAAAAAATTTTGATTACAGTCTAATGTGTGCATCGACACACAGGATAACATTCTGGGGAGTTTAGTGGCTGCAGAAAAAAAAAAAAAAAAAAAAAAAAAAAAGACTTCAAAAGCCAAAAACAGCAGCTGTAAAAACGTCCAGTGTGCATGAGGACTAAATCCAATTGAGAATATGTGGCAAGACTTGAAAATTGCTGTTCACAGAAGCTCTTCATCCAATCTGACAGAGCTACTTTGCAAAGAATGGGCAAAAATTTTACTTTCTAGTTGGGCAAAGCTGGTAGAGACATACCCAAAAAAACTGAACACAAATGCACACCACATTTTTCAAATATTTGTAAACAATTTTGAAAACCATTTATCATTTTCCTTCAGCTTCACAATTATGTGTCACTTTGTGTTGGTCTCACATAAAATCCCAATAAAATACATTGACATTTGGTTGTAACATGACAAAATGTGGAAAATTTCAAGGGGTATGAATACTTTTTTGTGTGTGTGTGTACACACACACACACATATATACACACACACACACACACACACACACATATATATATACATACACACACACACACACACACACACACAGTAAATACATACATTAGATTGTAAGCTCGAAAGAGCAGGGCCCTCAATCCCCTCATGTTTTGCATTGTATTGGTATTGTTCTGTCACATGTTCTGTCCCCCTTTGTAACGTACAGCGCTGAGTGAACTATTGGCGCTTTATAAATACTGTATAATAATAATAATTATATTGCCAAAAGTATTGGGACACCCTCCAAATCATTGGATTCAGGTGTTTCAATCACCTCCATGGCCACAGGTATATAAAATCAAGCACCTAGGCATGCAAACTGCTTCTACAATCATTTGTGAAAGAATGGGTCGCTCTCAGGAGCTCAGTGAATTCAAGCGTGCTACCGTGATAGGTTGCCACCTGTGCAATAAGTCCATCAGTGAAATTTACTTGCTAACTATTCCATGGCCAACTGTTGGTGGTATTATAACAAAGTGGAAGCAACTGGGAACAACAGCAACTCAGCCATGAAGTGGTAAGCCATATAAAAATGACAGAGCAGGGTCAGCGCATGCTCAGGTGCACAGAAGTCACCAACTGTCTGCAAAGTCAAAAGCTAAAGACCTCCAACCGTCATGCAACCTTCAGATTACCACAACAGCAAGAAGAAAGCTTAATGGAATGGGTTTCCATGGCCGAGAAGCTGCATCCAAGCCTTACATCACCAAGTGCAATGCAAAGCATTAGATGCAATGGTGTAAAGCACACCGCCACTGGATTCTAGAGCAGTGGAGGTGTGTTCTCTGAGTGACGAATCACGATTCTCTGGCAAACCGATGAATATGTCTGGGTTTGGCGGTAGCCAGACCGGTACTTGCCTGACTGAATTGTGCCAAGTTTGGTGGAGGGGGATTATAGAGTGGGGATGTTTTTCATGCCTGGACAATTTCATGCTCCCAACTTTGTTTTAACAGATTGGGGATGGCCCCTTCCTGTTCCAACATGACTGCACACCAGTGCACAAAGTAAGGTCCATAAAGACATGGATGAGCAACTTTGGGGTGGAGGAACTTGACTAACCGTGACCTCAATCCTCAGTCAGGGAGGGCAGAGTGGAAGGAAGCAAGGGCAGAGTGGAAGGAAGGAAGGGAGGGCAGAGTGGAAGGAAGGAAGGGAGGGCAGAGTGGAAGGAAGGAAGGAAGGAAGGAAGGAAGGGAGAACAGAGTGGAAGGAAGGAAGGGAGGGCAGAGTGGAAGGAAGGAAGGAAGGAAGGAAGGAAGGAAGGGAGAACAGAGTGGAAGGAAGGAAGGGAGGGCAGAGTGGAAGGAAGGAAGGAAGGAAGGAAGGAAGGAAGGAAGGAAGGAAGGAAGGAAGGAAGGAAGGAAGGAAGGAAGGAAGGGAAGGAAGGAAGGGAAGGGAGGGCAGAGTGGAAGGAAGGAAGGAAGGAAGGGAGGGCAGAGTGGAAGGAAGGGAGGGCAGAGTGGGGAAGAGGGCAGAGGAAGGAAGGAAGGGAGGGCAGAGTGGAAGGAAGGAAGGAAGGGAGGGCAGAGTGGAAGGAAGGAAGGGAGGGCAGAGTGGAAGGAAGGAAGGGAGGGCAGAGTGGAAGGAAGGAAGGGAGGGCAGAGTGGAAGGAAGGAAGGGAGGGCAGAGTGGAAGGAAGGAAGGTTAGGGGCAGAGTGGAAGGAAGGAAGGGAGGGCAGAGTGGAAGGAAGGAAGGGAGGGCAGAGTGGAAGGAAGGAAGGGAGGGCAGAGTGGAAGGAAGGAAGGGAGGGCAGAGTGGAAGGAAGGGAGGGCAGAGTGGAAGGAAGGGAGGGCAGAGTGGAAGGAAGGAAGGGAGGGCAGAGTGGAAGGAAGGGAGGGCAGAGTGGAAGGAAGGAAGGAAGGGCGGGCAGAGTGGAAGGAAGGAAGGAAGGGGGCAGAGTGGAAGGAAGGAAGGGAGGGCAGAGTGGAAGGAAGGAAGGGAGGGCAGAGTGGAAGAAAGGAAGGAAGGAAGGGAGGGCAGAGTGGAAGAAAGGGCAGAAGGAAGGAAGGGGAGGGCAGAGTGGAAGGAAGGCAGGGAGGGCAGAGTGGAAGGAAGGAAGGGAGGGCAGAGTGGAAGGAAGGAAGGAAGGCAGAGGGAGGGAGGGCAGAGTGGAAGGAAGGGAGGGCAGAGAGGGAGGGAGGGAGGGGAGGGAGAGGGAAAGGAAGGGAGGGCAGAGTGGAAGGAAGGGGAGGAAGGGAGGAAGGGCAGAGTGGAAGGAAGGAAGGAAGGGCAGAGTGGAAGGAAGGAAGGAAGGGGGCAGAGTGGAAGGAAGGAAGGAAGGGCAGAGTGGAAGGAAGGAAGGAAGGGCAGAGTGGAAGGAAGGAAGGGAGAGGGAGGGAGAGGGGGCTGGGCACGGAAAATAATACATCAGAGGGGGGTCCCAGAAAGAATCGGAACATTCAGGGATGATCGGTGCACCGGTGGGAGCAGTGACAAGCAGTGATCTCCTGTATGGCTTTCAATGAAGCAGCTGAATCCTCCTCCTCCTCCAGTGGTTTTCAGCTGCTTCACTGAAAGCCATACAGGAGATCGCTGCTTGTCACCATCCCCAATGCCACCCCTAGTCCCGGCACTGCTCGCCCCCACCTTATTTCCACTCATTGCAGAATAGCCGGCAACTCATATCCTTATGATATATGCTTTATTGGCACACAGTAGATGACATAGAATCCATAAAAGCTGACTAGTTTCGGCCACAGCCTTTGTCGAAGCTTACATTAAAAAAAAAAAAAAAATTAAGATTCAAACTTATATATAACATAGCAGCCCACAAAATTAGGGGGTGGTACATGCTTAATTAAAATCATTATTCAGTTTAAATGATTGCAGGTGAAAGTGAAGCAATAGGATTGCAGATAAAAAGTGAAAAAGAGAAAACTTCATCTAATGCATATGACTGCAAGCATCCTAATGCAAGAGCAGCACAATGAATTAAAACTGCCCTAAACATGGATACCCTCAAATTGAACATGTCTTATTTAAAGAAAAGATTAACATCCATTCTATTGTTTAGATTAAAAGGGACCCTGGTATTGAGCATATGAATCCACCACACTTCACGTTTAAGTAAGGCGCGGTGTATATCTCCTTCTCTTACAGGTTTTCTTACATGTTCCAAACCGAGGGGAAAAAAAGGAGTCAAAAGGTTTCCACCATGCTTCTCTCTGAAATGTTTAGACATTAGAAATATGTTTAGCACTTGGATTATTGGTGTTATTATAGTGTTCAGATATTCTGACTCGTAATGAACGAACAGTACATCCCGCATATTGGAGACGACAAGCACAATTCGTGAATTGCAACTGATGTAACATTTTAAAGCATATACTCTCTCTGTGAGAACAAAGTAACTGTAGTACTTTTTTTTGTGCCTTTTACATTGTTTACATGTGTTTATACCACATGGATAGGAACCCTTAGTTCTTAAACCATCCACTTCTTTGGTCATTAGTTTTTGAACAGAACAAACTAGGTGATAACGATGTGCCTAAAGTAGGAGCTCTTCTACAGGAAAAACTGCATCCATTTTTTAAAATATCATACGGCACCTTGTCAGTATAAAGAACCGGTAAACATTTTTTAACTATGGCAACAATTTGGCTGCACTGCATAGAATATGTAGCAAGAAAATGAACTTCAACCACTAGCCTACAGGGCACTTATACCCCCTTCCTGCCCAGGCCAATTTCCAGCTTTCAGCGCTTTCACACTTTGAATGACAATTGCGCGGTCAGGCAACACTGCACCCATATGACATTTTTATCATTTTTTGGTGACAGATTTATTTTGGTGGTATTTAATCACCTCTGGGTTTATTTTTTCTTAAACAAAAAACCACTGAAAATTTTGAAAAAAAAAAGTTTTAGTTTTTGTTATAAAATTTTGTAAATAAGTGATTTTTCTCCTTCACTGATGTGCGCTAATGAGGCTGTAGTGATGGGCACTGATAGGTGGCACTGATGGGCATTGACAGGCATCACTGATGGGCACTGAAAGGCACCACTCATATGGCACTGATAGGCAGCACTGATGCACACCGATAGGCGGCACTGATAGGTGGCACTGATAGGCAGCTCAGATGGGCACTGATATGTGGCATTAATGTGCACTGGTAGGCACAGAAATGTGGCACTGATGGGCACTGGCAGGTGGCACTGCTGGGGCTACACTGATCATCAGGGCACACTGATCATCAGTGCTCTGATGATCAGTGTTGATGTCCCCTCCGAGGAATGCAGATTACCGGATCTCCTCTCGAACTGTCAGCGTGACAGCTCGTGATGAGAGAAATGCCGATAACTGGCATTTCCCTGTTTACATGTGATCAGCTGTGATTGGACACAGCTGATCACATGACCGAGCCGCCATCTTCGGCTCTTTCCGTGGATCGGTGATTCGCTGTGCCCGAGGGACATAGCACACCGCCTATCGCTGCTCTGCGCGCTCCCAGAACCGCGCATGCGTCATATGCCGTCCTCCCAGAACGAGAGAACCGCCTTACGTCCATCATTTTACTATACGGCGGGCGGGAGGCAGTTAATGCATGATGCTCGTTTACGGAATCTATCTTTCTTCAAAGGTTCTACAATTAGATTATCCCAATGTTTTTCTTGGGCTGCAATCATTCCTCGATCTACCAGATATTGGCTGTATCCCCGCTCTCCAAGTCTACCTGAGACTATGTCACATTCCTTTAAAAATCACTGAGTGGAACAATTCCTTCTTGCCCTCACAAACTCACCAATAGGTAATGTTTTTATAGTATGTGTCAGATGACAACTAGAGGCGAGCAATAAGGAATTGTCCATACACTGTTTTCTATAGGTTTTAGTAGTGACACTGCCACTATCCACATGTCCAGTTAATGTCAAATCCAAATAGTCAATAGTGGATGGCAGTTATAAGTAAATTCCAAATTGAAACTATTATTCAAATATGTAACAAAATGTTTCAACTCAGAAACTGAATCAGAACAGGGCAGAATCAGATAGTCAATAAAAACAACTGTACTATGCAATGCGAGATCTCTATATATTATTGTGAGAAAATAAAAGGTCTCCCTCCCACCACCCCAAATATAGATTAGCTGAGGGGGAAAACTTGGCTCCCATCGATGACCCTTGACATTGAATGTAATATTTCAAATCAAAGAAAGAAATTGTGTTTAAGCAAAAATTAAATTGCCATACACAAAAATTCCCTTGTATATTATATCTACTATAACATGTCAGGTGATGTTCGAAGGCTTACAGAGCTAGATAATGTGGTAAGCTTGAGTACAATGCTTTAACATACATAGTGAGCCAGTTATTATATTCTGTCCATTTAATCTCATGTATATGAGCTAGTAGACAGCCAGTGTCCCTCAAGTAACCTGGCAATCGGGTGACTAAGGGTTGAAGATGTTAATCAACCCATTCACTGAGCGTTTCAAGTAAAGATCCTATACCTGCCACTATGGGACGTCCCTGGACAGGGGTATGTTGTGTATTTTTGAGAGATGATGGAAAATTGGGGTGATGGGATTATCAACCATCAAAAAAATCCATCATTTTGTTATCTATAGCTCCCATTTCCTTGCCTGTGTCCAGTAGATGTCGCATTTTTTCCTTACAAAGGAGGGTAGGATTGCTATCACATGGCATGATAAGTGCTAGTGTCATACAGCTTCCTTAAGGCTTCTAATTTGCAGCTGTCAGTATCAAGAACCACTCGCCCAATGCGAGCGGGCAAGTGGAAATTTTGAGGGCTGTATGTGTGTATATATTATATATACACACACACATATACATATATACAGTGCTCAGCATAAATGAGTAAACCCCAACAGATTTGTCAGAAAACCTTTTCTTTCAGAATCAAGATTTTCTATGGGACACTATACTACAAAATACTCCCACAAACGTGGGCCATGGACTGCAAACAAGATTTGTTAATTTGCACACACAAAAAAATATTTTTCCTATCAAATTCATTCAAGACCATGTTGCAAAAATGAATACACCCCAATGAAAGTCTTAGGAGCAAAGCTACATTTTAGATAACAAAATTCTAATTAGCAAGAATTCAACTACATGCGAGTTTAATTATTCATTAAACAGATGACAAGCAGACCGTTGATTACAAAAGGACATTACTTAATAAAGAACACCCCCTTCCCATTTCATGCTGTCAGCAATGGCACCACATGGAAGAGAAATGTCACAAGGCCTGAGAAAGAAAATAATTTCTTTACAAAAGAAAGATGAAAGCTACAAGATCAGAAAAGCTTTACAGTCAGTCAGAATACTGTAAAATTTAACAAAGATGGAACTGCAAACATCTCACAGAGACGTTCAGGCCATCCACAGAAGTTAACACCTTGACAGGAGTGTCTTCTGATGAGAAGGGTTGAAGAAAAAAAGCCATGCAAGTACACTGCAGTTCGCTAAAGAAATAAAAAGCCAAACTGGGGTGATTGTTTCCTGTGACACAATACATCGTGCACTGGAGAGGAATGACATGCATTGTGTCCTCCACGAAGGAAGCCTCTCCTAAAGCCCATGCACAAAAAAGCCCACCTAGAACTTGCTAGGACCCATGCTGAAAAAGAAGACGACTACTGGGACTCTGTACCATGGAGTGATGAGACCAAGATAATTTTTTTTGGAACTGATGGCTTCAAAACTGTATGGTGTCACAAAGCTGAGGAGAAAAAATGCAAGTGGCAGTGTCCTTCTGTGGGCTACATGAGTGATGCTGGTGTCAGGGAGCTGCATTCCATTGATGTCATGAATTCACAGATGTACTTCCCTATATTGAAAGAGAAAATGTTATCACTCCATACCCTTGGTCGTTGTGCACTCTTCCAACATGACAATGATCCAAAACACACATCTAAGAACACTGTTGCATTTCTCAAGAAGAACAGTGATTCAGTGGTCAAGTATGTCTCCTGATCTGAACCCAATCGAAACACCTATGAGGAATTCTGAAGAGAAAAGTTGAGCATCATTCTCCATCCAGCATCCAGGCTCTAAAAGAGGTTGTTCTTAAAGAATGGGAAAAGATGTGTTGTCAACCTGTTCATTCCATGCCTAGAAGACTTGGTGCTGTCCATACAAATCATGGAGGTCATACAAAATACTAGATGTTGTACTTTTTGTTGTGGGGTGTATTCATTTTTGCATCAACTAATTTGAGTAAAACTGAAGATTTTGTAATTTAAGTTATATTATTAACCTTACTTTCATGTAATGAGATAAATAAATGTTCTATAAAACTCAGTTTTTTCAAAATTTGGGAAATTGTTCTTGTGTTCATTGCGAAATTGATTAAAATCTTACTTTTCAAAATGGGTGTACTCATTTATGCTGAGCACTGTATACATACAAACACACACACACACACACACACACACACACACACACACACACAATGCTATAATATACAAGGGAATGGGACATTCGATTTGTGACATCTAAAAGAACAAGAGAAAAAAAAAATATAAAAGAAATGTAAAAAGTTTAACTGATCCATGCTGGTAAAAATAACACTAAGTGCAGTCATTAGCTGCTAAATTACAGTGTTTGGCTTCAGAATGAAAGGAGAAAGTCACTTTTTTAACGAGAAGCAGAAGTAATAGAATACGTGTGCAGAGCAATGTGAATAGAGAGGAGCTCATTACAGCCATAACAGGAAGCAGATCATGTAAAAGTAGAAATGAAGAAAAACGTGGGTGGCAGAATGGTGGAAGATATCACCTCTGAAATATCATAGACTGGCAATTCTATTACACCAATCATAAAGAAACAGAATAAGTGCAAAAAGGGAAGAAAACTATCCTTTCAACAAAAACTCAAACCATACATATAGGAAAAAAGGGACATTACATTGACACTGGCAAACAGCTTTTTACTTCAGAGCCTTCCCCCTTCAGCCCATAGCCAGAAATTTATTTGTTTCAAAGCAGTGTATCTTTTTGTGTTTAAATTAAAGCTGAATCTCCTATGAAAAATTTTAAGATTGTGTTCAAAGCAACCTTTTTGAACCAGGGTGCCTTCAGGATTCTGGGCGCCTTAAACTGCCTAAAAAATGTCCATAAAAATTATATACAAGCTTGCTTTTTAGCTACACAAAGCCACAGATTTCGTTGTGTAACATTACAACTTTCTAGCCACGGGCAACATAACTGATAATGCCATCAGTTGATAAAACAGGACATCAGGCACCAGCACAGCATCCTCCCCTTCCCCTCTCTGTCAGCACTGGGTTTTACGTTAGCAGAAAGAGAGAGATAAACTGAGGGAGAGAAGTACCAGTGTGCAAAGGTGTATTTGCTTTGGAACAATCACCTCTAATGTTGGGTGTCCTACATGTGCAGATGTTGTGCAAGATTTTAAAGGGTGCCTCGACTGAAAAAACGTTGAGAAACACTGATTTAAACAACAGGCATTAAAGTGGTATTAATCCCAAAAAAACAAAGAAAGAATTAAATTGCAGCTCACCAGTTCTTGGATGTGGTGGCTGAAGCATTTTTTTTAGGCTTTTGTTTCCATTTTGACTGGGGATCCAGCCAGCAAGTTTGTTATTTTTCAACTTCTTTTAACAGACCTGGCTGTCCAGACAAAGGCGGAGGGTTGAAACAAACCAAGGGGACTTACATTGGTTAGTTTCTACTTATGTAAACACTTACCCCAAAGAGAAAAAAAAAAAAAACTGTTTCCTGCAACTGCTTATAAACGGTTAGCTGGAGTTCATTTTCAATGTGTTAGTTAAGTCTAAATCTGTTAGTCTAACACTACCCTCTCTTCAGGCTGACAATTCTGCTGTCCAAAGTGTCTTCTCTACTACTTCATCCAGAATGCAGACAGCCTAAGAAAGGAAGTACATTACTGGCAGGATCACAAGGTGGAAAATGGAGAAAATCCTAAAAGAAAAAAAAAAAAACAAATGCATCCAACACATCAAATATCCCTGCATCAACATGGATTGTGTTGATGCAGGGATCTGTGTGTTTTCTGGGGGGTTCAAAAACTCAGTGTATACCCTGATTTAGAGTAAACCATTTATTACTGTTACTGGAGTCCACTTTGAAACATTTGTACATTGTAATCATATTCCCCTTAAGCGCCTCTTCCCCAGAGTGAATAATTGTAATCTATGTAATCGATCCTGATAGCTGAAGTCCTCCTCCCCCTTATTAATTTTATTTTCCTTTGCTGAGCTCTAATTCAACATCATCTTTCCTGAGGATTGGTGTCCAACAATGAACTGCATATTCAAGCTGAAGCTGAACCTATTTTGCTAGCTTTGTTAGCTGCAGCTTGGAACTGCATGATTTTGCCAAATCTGTGTTCTACCAGCACCCCCAGATCCCTTTCCATCTCCCATTCTCCCACAAGAGCTCCTCCTAATGTGTAATTTGCATGTACATTTTTGG